TTTTTGAAACAGGGCGTCAGGAGCTGCTTATCTCAGTGTAAGACTATACATGAAATTAAAATCTCTCCAACTACAAAGATTAGCAAATACCACTGTTTTTCCACTGTAAGATCAGGGGAGAGCGCGAACGCAGTCCCCCACTACCACAAATTATGCAGTCGAGTTTCCCACATTTGGGGAAATCGCAGGGGTCAGCACATCCGGAGTGCAATGGATAAGCCTCGCCCTGGGAAAACCACCTTCGTGATCATGGTATCTCCCCTGCCAGGTAAGTATGAGTTGTCCCCTCCGCGCCACCCGCGCCCTCGCTGGCGCCCCACTCCTCACTCACGGTCACCGCGACACGCGCCCTCCGCCCCCGCGCGCCCCCTGGTGCTCCTGTCGCCACTAAGGACAGGACCCCGGTACCGTGGAGCTGTCGTCCACGCGGGACGTTAGGTCCGAAATGACAGGGACCGGCGGCCTCTGAGCGACGCCATATCTGCATATTCCACGCCTCTGTGCCGACGTCCCCTCCCCGACACCCGCCTACTAAGGGACAGGCAGGCGATCTGGGGTCCCGAGTCCGTCCGGCGAAGGTGCGCGCGGTTTCGGCTCTGGGAACGGAGGGGACCCCCGAGGGGACCGGGCCTCGCGACCCCCGCCAACGCCTGCGGGACCCCACGGGGCCGGGGCCGCATGCGGTCCGCGCCGCTGTCCCCTTCCTTTACGCAGAGAGACTTTCAGCCCCTGCTGCTCTCGCCAGTCCCACGGAACTCGTCCTCGCGGGACACGGTGACAGAGTCCCTCTTCCCCTCTTCAGCTCTGAGTACTGAGAGCTCCACGACCACCCGAACGGGAAGTCGTTTTTTCCGTGACATCGTTCTCCGCACTCCTGTGGGAAATTACTTCCACGCCTCAGGCGCTCCACTTGGAAAACCTAAAGGGGAAAAATCCAGATTCTGTCCTGAAGAGAGTCCGGGACCAGGCTCAGACTTCGGGCACTGTGCGAATCGTGCTGTGGTTGAGTTCGTACCGCTGGAAACAGCGACTTAAAACACCTGAAAGTTCTAAGTGTCCTGTTGTGGGTCATGTCAACCACGCCGTCTGCCATAATCTCTTGATCTGTCCCCATCTCCACTGTGCGCAGACAGTGGATCCCACAAGGTCTCTGTCAGTAAACTGGGAACTTGTGCATCTTTACTAATCCTCCCATGACAGATGGAGTCACATTACCCTCTCCTTAGTGACTCTGATCAATCGGACCGATAGAGGGTGACAGAAGCGATGTCCGGGAACTTCTGAGGAAGTCTTGCATCCTCACTGGGTCTTAGGGAAAGTCTTGAAGAAGGCTGACTGCTATGACGCGGCCACGTCTGGGGCAGCCCAGGCCTCGCGCACGCGCACGAAGACGCCTGCAGAGTTCTGTCCCGTGCTGAGACCACTCATCCGGGAACAGAGTAGTCCCTGCCAGGACTGCCGATCTGTGGTCCTCGTAAACGGCCACGTGTCACAGCCTTCGGCTCTCAAGATGCTGCTTTGCTCTGTACTTTCTTCTGCTCCGCGTCCACAGCGCACAGGGCCTCAAGCAGCCGCCCGGAGATGGCAGCCTCAGCCCCAGAGCTTACTTTTGATGTTGCAGGTCCTACGTCCACTGCCAACTCCTTAAAAGCTAAGCCTTGGTTTTAGGTGCGTGGGAATGGGCTTCTAATAGACCCAAGTTTTACAGAGCCTAATGAACGTGGACATACCTTCCTCCCCTGCACGGAAGGGAAAATTGCCTAGGCACGGTTCCCAGGAAAGGAGAAAAAAAAAAAAGGTTCCAAACAGGCGTCTCCTTCACATCGCTGTTACACTTAGGTGTATTGCAAGGGCGGGAAAAGGGGTTACCTCCTTCTGCCCATCTATCATAAAGGGTCATGGCCGCACCACAATGACAAAAGTGGGGTTTCCAACAGAATGTGTAGGAGAGGACAGGGTAGTGGTATGTGACCCATCTCGTGACGACAGAGCCCCTGGCACCATTCATTAACCTGCTTTTCAGTTTATCCCTGCCTGTGATCACTTTCATCAGCAATTTCAAGGTGGTCCTGGTCAGCTCCTCTTACTTGTTTCTGACTCTTGTATAGTACTGACCAGTAAGATACAGGTTGCCACAGAAGGCTTCTACAGGGAAGTAAAAAGGCCAACCCTGTTAGAAGATGGGCTTAGAGCAGAAATGCAGCAGCCAATTTGCTACCAGGGTGGAGATTACAGCCAACACGGTAGAGCAGGGAGGTGCTAGATGAGTAAGTTCCTCACAGTGCTGTCATGACCTTCTGGGTAAGAAAAATTAAGTCCTGTGTAAGCACCTCAGTTTGAGTTACCTGTAGTCAAGAGTATACTGTACCTAAATCTCATTTGATTTTTATTTGGAAGTACTGGGGTTTGAAGTCACGATCTCACATTTGCTAGGCAGGCTACCACTTGGGCTACTCCACCATCCAAAGTTCTCAAGTTCTATATTGCTCACTGTTTCAATGGGAAGGTGGGTACTAGTGGTCAAGTTCCAGCATCTTATCTACCCAGAAACATTACAAAGTTAATACTCAAGTAGATTTTCACTCCATTTTAAATCCTGTCCTTTTCTCCCACAGTTTCTTTTTAACTCCTATCTCTCCACACACCCTTTTGGTAGTACTGGCGTTTGAACTCAGGACCTTGTTTTCTAGGCAGGTGCTCTACCACTTGAGCCATTCTGCCTGTCCTATGTTGGATAGTTTCCAGATAGGGTCTTGGGAATTATCTGCCTGGGGCTGGCAGTCTTCCTGATCTCAGCCTCCTGAGTAGCTAGGATTACAGGCATGAGCCACGGGCGCCTAGCTTCCCTTTTTACTCATTTTATTTTCTGCATCATGCCCTACTTCAGGAAGATCAGCTTGAGCTCAACTTCTGCATTTTTTTTTGGTTGTTGCTGTTCTTTTTTCAACTTCTACATATATATATATATATATATATTTTTTTTTTTTTTTTTGTGGTACATAGGTTTGAACTCAGGACTTTGTGCTTGCTAGGCAGATGCTCTACTGCTTGAGCCAGTCACCTTCTGATTTTCCTAACTGCAACAGACATCTACCTCACCAAGCCTTTCAGCTTCACTGGCCAAACAAGCCAACTGCTCTGCAGCTGCTTTACCCAGAGCCTCCTTCTCACCCAGGATATAAACCTCTCCCCAAATGTCCAGGCCTTATCTGGGCACTGGTGGCTCACACCTGTAAGCCTAGCTACTCAGGAGGCAGAGATCAGGATTGCAGTTTGAAGCCAGCCTGGGCAAATAGTTCACGAAAATACCCTATCACTAAAAGTAGTGGTGGAATGGCTCAAGGGAAGTCCCTGCCCCAGTAATGCAAAAACAAAAATAAAAAATGTCCAGGCCTTTCTCTCTGCCCACATTGCTTTCTTTCCTTCTGTCCCCCAGGGCGTAAACCATTACCTGAAGGAGGTCCTATTCTATCTTGGAACACTAAATGCATACAGTAATTGTCCACCTAGCACCTTTCTTTCTTCCTGTTTCAACTTTGTCTCCCAGGTACCAGATGATCCATAAATGTTAAAGGAACACCTCAACTCAGCAGCAGCGAATCCAGGGTTGCAGTAGCAATGAGCCATAGAATAAATGTTCCCATTGTCTCTGGGGTGCAAAAGAATCTTTCCTTAGTATGCCATTGACAGAGTAATAAACCCTCTTTACTTGCAGGCTTTGCTGGTGAGACAGGCCTTGCTAAAGCACTGCCAACCTGGGATGTATGTTAGAAATTCCCTCAACTCCCACACATTCTACTATGTCCTGCTGCTGCTGTTCTACCTCTATCCCCACCACCAGCACCCTCAACACATAAACCAGGGGCTGAAGGATACATCTACTCCACCTCCTTCCCCACGGAGGCCACCTGGGTGAAAACAGAATGATCAGTGGGTAACTGAAACATCATTCTGCCCTGTGCTTACTATTTCTTTCATTTACATAGCACCTTCACATTTCCAAAGCAGGGTACCAACATTTATTAATCCTCACAACACCCCTGTGAGGTAGGTCAACATGTCCTTTGTAGTAGAGACTGAGGCAGAAGTCAAGCGGATCTGCCCAACTTGCTTGAGGCCACAAAGGCAGCTGCTGGAAGGCTGGACCTGAATCCAGAAGCCAGGGCCCTTGGTCCTGCGTTCACCCACTGGTGCACATTGCATGGGCATATTTTTACCAACCAGTGAGGGTTACATGGAGGACAAAACACAAAGATCTCTCAGCCAACAACACAAACATCAACAGTTCAAATGGCACTGGGGAACATGTTGATTAGAGAGATGGAACGTTAACTAGCACATGAGTGAGGCAAGAGAACATGCTAAGGAATCATCCAGACTGGTGATAAGACACAGAACAGGCAATCTTCAGAACAGGGTGGGAAATGTAAACAAACCAGGGACCCAAATCCCTGCCTGTGGTGTCCAAACTGGAGAAAAGTTAGACTAAGAGTAGAAAACTCTAACCACTCAATCTAACTCTAATCTAGGAATGAGAATCGTGTTCATTCCCGTAGAAAGGCCATTCTATTGGCATACCAACTTCTAACCAGTCTACTTTTTTCTTACGCACACAGCTGTTCCTTCTAGAAGACCTCTTTTTTCCCTTCTCCATACCAAGCTACACCTGCCACCGTTAAGTACCAAATGGTTCCGTGGTGTATGGCTCATGGTTCATTGGCTGAGCTAGGACAGAATTTGAGAAAATATGTAAGAGACTTAAGCTGCTTCGGTACTGCAGATCACCTGCGTCCACCCAATTCCACGTTCCATGAAGCACACACAGAGGGGCGCCGCATTCTTTTGTAAAGGGACTGGTGGACTTGGTTCAATATGCCATTTCCAGAGAAATACGAAAAAAACTGAAAACTAAGACCTGCACTGTAAAGCATAATATTGGAGCAGATTTATTATAGCTACTCCAAAATTTACAGTGACACAATGACCAGAGTTAAAAAGGATCACTGTTATCGCTGGTTATTTTACAATAATTGGTTTAGTCTACAAGTTTAAGGCAAACATACTAATGCATTTGCTTTTGTTCAGAAACCATACTTACAAAGAGTACATAAAGGCTGGTCCAAAACTTCTATGTGGATTAGTTAAAAGTAAGTAATTCAGATGCTTTACAAGGATACATGAGAAAACTAAAGGCCCTCCAAGGCTTTTCAGAAACAAAGTTTAAAAGACAGTCAAGAAAGGCAATCTTTGTCTGAATGATGTATTCTGAAATGATTAAATTTCAGAGAAGACTTGAAGGAAACTAAGATTGGCAGCCATAAGGATTACTATTTATAAAATAAACAGTTATAGGGCTTACTTAAAAAAAAAAAAAAGAGACTGAACTTTGGGCTTATGAGTGCGAGGAGCGCACGACGACGGACCGCTGTCCAGGGGACACGGGGCTTCATCCCACCACACAAGAGGCTTTGCCTGTGCACAGCACTGCTTTGCTGTTTCCCAGAAAAAAGAGGAGGAGATGCTCTGTGTCAACTATTTTGTTGCTGTTTCCAGTGAGCATAAATGCTAACATCATTAGGAGAACAAAAATAAGATCTGAAGGAAGGCAGCCCTTTTTAACAGGAAGGTGAAGTGCGGCTTATGTGTCTCCATTTAACACTGCCAGGCAGTTCTGCAGCAGCTGGAGGTTACCCTAAAAAGTTAGAAAAAATAAATTATGTATTTTATTAGTTCAAATAGTTTGGGAGTCTTATTGAAATATACTGTATTAGCTGGGTATGGCGTTACACGCCTGTAATCTCAGCACACAGGACGACAGTTTGAGGCCAGCCTGAGGGCTAGACAGTGAGACCCTGTCTCAAGACCCTCTACCCCCCAAAAAAGAAAGAAAATATACAGTATTAGAACTCATATCACTTTAAACTTGTTAAGACATCAGAATTGTGGAAGGAGCCATTCATTACATCCAAATAAAGGTTTAGAGACATAAAATACCAGATTCTTCAGCAGATAAAATTCTATCTAGACCAATCATAATGAACTGGATAATTTGACAAGTCTTTTGCTGTTGTTTTAATAACAGTTGTGGGGACTGAAATCTGGGCTTTGCACTTGCTAGGCAGTCACTCTACCACCTGAGGCACCACCTCAGGCCTTTTCTGCTTTAGTTCTTTTTCAGATAGGGTCTCTTGTTTTTGCCCAGGCTTGGTCTCAGATGGCACTCCTCATCAACTCAGTGTGACAAGCACAAATGTTGTTAAGACACTGGAAAATATCCCTTATATGGGTCAAAATCATCTCTAGTTGAAAACCACTGGAATGGAACAGCTATCAGAAATGTGAATACAAAGAACTCATTTCAGAAAGGACTTCAAAAAGTATAGAATCTGGAAAACGGAGGCAAGTATCTGCAGATTTTTTTTCTAAAAGTCTGAATAGTAAACTATTTTTGGTTATGAGAGACATATGATCTCTGTCTCGACTATTCTACTTGGTTATAGTAGGGTGACAGCCACCCAAGTGCTGGGATGATAAGTATCTTCATGTGCTTTTAAAAACAATCATTTGGGGGGCCGGGATAAAGGATAATGATGGAAGGGGTGAATTCAACCATGATATATTATAAGAACTTTTATAAATGTCCCAGTGTACACCCAGCACAACAGTATGATAATTAAATAAATAAAATTTGCAATTGGTAAACCATTAATTTTAAAAAGAGCAAAAAAACCTAAACAAACAAAAAACAACCATCTAAAAAGTAAGCACCATCTCTAGCTCACAGGTACAAAAGCAGACAAGTCTGTCTACAGTAGTTTGCCAAGTGATAATCTATAGTAAATTTCTGGATAGTTCATGAACTCTTTAAAAGAACAAAAACAGTGAAAATTAGAGACCAACAGTCTCATTGTGCCAAGCTCATCAAACCATTTTCTTTTGGTATTACCAGAATATTGGCAATAAATATCTTGATTCAGTGATGAATTTGGTATTTCTTATGGCCTTCATATGAATACAACGTAGAATTAGTTACAACAGGTGAAGCAGTAATTATTTGAATAATCTAAGAATATTAATACATCAATGCCAGGCTGGGTGACACTTACTCACGCCTGTAATCCTAGCTACTCGGGAGGCTAGAATCAGGAGGGTAGTGGTTCAAGGCCAGAACATCTAAAAATAACCAGAGCAAAATGGACTGGAGATGTGGCTCAAGTAGCAGAGCACCTACTTTGCAAGTGTAGGCCCTAAGTTAAAACCCCAGTCCTGTCAAAAAAAAAAAAAAAACAAAACAATGCCAATTAGGATAGAAAGAAAGGTAGCTAACTAAATACTTAAGTCTTTTTTTTTTTTTGGAGGTAAGGTCTTGCTGCATAACACAGGCTAGCCTCGAACTCAAGATTCTCATGCCTCAGTTTTCTTTGTGTTGGGATTATAGAATGCACTACCATACCTGGCAACACTTATGGTTTTTTTTTCGTAGTAGGTACTTTTTACTTACAATTAAGATTAATAAATATTGGCTTCTGGGTTTTTTTTTTAATCTTTGTTTTTAAAACCAGAACTTTACTCAGTTATGGGTGGGTCATCCCTGCAATCCTAGCTACTTGGGGAGGCTAAGATTGGGAGGATGGTTCAAGGCCAGTCTGGGCAAATAGTAAGACTCCCATCTCCAAAATAACTAGAGCAAAATGGACTGGAGACATAGCTCAAATAGTATAGCACCTGCTTTGCAAGCTTGAGGTCCTGAGTTCAAACCACAGTCTCACCAAAAAAACAAAAGAAAAAAAACCCCACAACTTTGTTGGGTTGGGGATGTAGCTCAGTGATAGAGTGCTTGCCTAGCATACATAAGGCTCTTGCTTATATCTCCAGCACTACAAAAAGCTTCGATGAAGACATAAAAGGGAAGTTCATAGAAATTTCTACCACCTGGGAAGAATGATTAATATACAATAATCAAATACTACCATGTGACCAAATCCAAGTTTCGAAGATATCTTCATGAGCTAAGTAAAAAGTACCAAGCCTCAATATAGAACAGCTCATGGATCAAACACGTGACTGGCATGTGCCACGTGCAAGGCCCTGGATTTGATCCACAACACCGCACACAACCCCATCCCTGCCAAAAAAACCAGCCTCATGCTGTAAGAAGAAATGGACAATAATCAGTCCACATATGAAAATGTATTTCCATTTTCACGTGTAACATTTTTAAAAGCAGAGCAACGAGGACAGCACTATAAATAGTTTGTTGGTTTAGCATGATGGAATAAAAATATTGTTAAAACGATGTCTAACCTGTGGGAGAAAAGATGTACAGGCAATAGAAAGTATTCAAAAGTCTGATGGGCTACACTATAAAAGACTTAAACTTGACTTTATTATTTTAGATCTGTTCAAAGAGGCAGATCTGCATTCATTATAAAGTGTCTCAAAAATTTTAGTGGTTTTTAGCTTTAATAAATTTAGAAGTGTAAGTGCTACAAATATTTAATTTGTGGTTTTGTTTTATTGAGACAAGGTGTGTCACTATGTAGCATAGACTGCCCTAGAACTTGCAATCCTCCTGCCAACGCCTCTAAAAGTTTAATTTCCTTAAAACTTATTTAGTTTGGGGAAATGTGAATATACTTTTCACTTATAATCCAGACTGAAGACGATAAATTGTAAGTAATTTTTAATTTTATGTATCTTTTTAAATGAAAAAAATTTTAAAACCCAGTTTTTTATTATGTAGCCCAGGATGGCTTTCGACTCACTGTGTAGCCCAAACTGGCCATCGAACTCAAGATCTTTTCTTTCTTTCTTTCTTTTTTTGGTGGCAATGAAGTTTGAACTCAGGGCTTCATGTTTGCTACATAGGCATTCTACCACTTGAGCCACTCCCCCAACACTGAACTCAAGATCTTCTTGCCTTCATGCCTAGCTTTAAATGATGTTTTTATTAAGAAGAATTTTTTAAACAATTAGTCAAAAAAACACTTTTTCTTTATTTCTGCAGTTCTGGGATATGGTACTGGGTTTTGTATTATTAGACACTATATCCTTTCAGAGTTGAACACTAGAGACACTATAGATATTATTCTTGCTTGAATTAGGTGATCTTTAAAGTCCTTCAATTCTAAATTCTCTATTTTTAAAATTACTGTAAGATTTGAGCCAAGCTTCACCTTTCTATTAAATGCAAGGAAGGTCAGGGCTGAGAAAGTAGCCTGCAAGCCCAAGTCCCAAGTTCAACCCCCAATACCACAAACAAACAAAGCCAAGAAGGGGCTTACTTCAAATAAAATACTGTAAAGACCAGAGGGAGGCTTCTGTTTACTAAAACCAACTATTTTGAAGCAGTAAAATTATCCTGGGAAATGTAATTCCTATTCAAGAACAGTTCTGTTGACTAGAGGTATGACTCAGTGGTAAAAGCACTTGCATAGGATAAGGTTGAGATTCTCAGTATCACCAAAAAAAAAGAAAAAGGAAAAGAATAATTCTGTCAATATCCCTGTACTCTAGAAGGTTAAGTGTAGAATTAATTTTACAGCAAAATTAAGTTTTTAAAATACTTTTTCTAACTCAATTTTAAATTTCACATTACTTAAATCTTCAATATACCTTCGCATGCTTCAGTTCTAATTCTGCAAGTTCCACTAAATTTTTTCTGAATGCAGCAACTCTTCTTGTCTTAAAATCTATAAGTTCTGTGAACAAAAAAATTAGAAGTAAATAATTTACATAATAACCATAATAACCAATAATAACCTTTGTCATGACAGGTTAATGATGCAACAGTACCTTGTTTTGCAGATTCAGATATTTTTTCAAACTTCTGACAACATAACTGTTGCGAGGTTTCAGCCTGCAGAACATCTTTATTTTTTGCTCTTGCCTTATCCAATGCTTTATTAGCATTTTCATAATCCACCAGCGACCTAGATCTTCTATAGAGGAGATCCTGTAAGACAGAATGTTTCACAATGCATACTCCCATGTTTATAGTAGTCACACTCAAGCACCCCCACCCCTGCCAGCCCCATTAGAGGTAACACACTGTGAATCCAATAGTCCAACCACTCTCTTCAAAGTTTTTGTTGTTTAATTGTTCTAGGGAAGGAACACAGGGCCCCACCTTCTATTACTGAGCTATGCTATCAACTCCTAAATATTTTTGCTTTTTGTTGGTACTGGGGTTTGAACTTGCTAGGCAGGTTCTCTGACACTTAAGCAACACCCCAGTCTTTTTTGCTTTTCTTATTTTTCAAGCAGGGTGTCACATTAATGCCTGGGCGGTCCTGGACCTTAATCCTATTTCTGCAACCCAGCTTTTTATTGGTTGAGATGGGGGAGTCTCGATAACTTTTTGCCCAGGCTAGCCTTAAAACATCATTTCTCTCATCTCAGCCTCCTGAGTAGCTAGAATTACAGGCTTGTAGTATCACACTCAGTCCTAATTTTTTTTTTTAAATAACTTTATTAGCCAGGTGTGACTTACGCCCGTAATCTCAGCACTTGGGAGGGTAAAGCAGGAGGACTGCAAATTTGAGGCCAGCCTGGGCTACATAGCCAGACCCTGCGTCATTCTCCCCTTGGAAAAACTCAAACCACCCCCCACCCCCTAAAAAAAAAAACTGAAGGAGTTACTAAGAAATAATTCAAATACCATACTATTCACTCATTTGTGTCTGGCTTCTATCCCTTAGTATAATTTTTTTCTTTCCTTGAGACGGAGTATCACTATGCTGCCCAGTTTGGCCATGAACTCGAGCCTGCCATCTCAACTGCCCAAGGAGCTGGGATTCCTAGACATGTACCACCATGCCCAGCTCTGTTTCAAGTCTATCCATGAATCAGTACTTAATTCTTCCTCTTGCTGAATAGCTCACTGTATGGATGTATCACACTGATTTATTTAGTTTTTATTTGATAAACATCTGGTTTATTTCTACAGTTTGGCTAAGAAGAATAATGCTGCTATGAACACTTGTATACAAGTGTCTGCAGACATGTTTTCATTTCTCTCATTACCTTAGTGGAATTGCTAAGTCATATGATGATGTATATGTCAAAAATTTTGAAAAATTATCAGTCTGTTTCCAAGTGGTGGCACATTTTACATTCATACCAATACCACATGAGCGTTCAAATTTCTCTACATTTTTTGCCAATGCTTTTTATTAGTCTTTTGATTAAAGCTACCTGGGGTGATTTACCTTACAGTTTTAATTTGCAGCTCCCTGATGGCTGATGGTCTGAGCATCTCCCCATGTTTACTGCTATATGAGTCTCTTCTTTGGAGAAACATTTACTGAAGTCCTCTGTCTGCATTTTTATTTTGATGGGACTGGAGTTTGAATTTAGGGCTTTGTATTTGCACAGCAGATGTTCTACCACTTGAGCCGCACCTCCAGTCCATTTTATTTTGGAGATGGGGGTCTCAAGGACTGGGCTGGCCTTGAACTGTGATCCTTCTCATCTCAGCCTCGGAGTGGCTAGATTATAGGCATGAGCCACCAGTGCCTGGCCCTTCGTCTATTTTTAATCAAACAGTTTCTTTTTACTGAGTTGTAAGAGTCTTTTATATGATTTGAAAATATTTTCTCTCTAAAAATGAAAAGTTGTCTTTTTACTTTTCTTGACAGTGTCCTTTGACACGTTAAATATCTAATTTTAAGGAAGCACAGCAGTTTGGTGCTTTTTTTTTTTTTGGCAGTACTGGGGTTTGAACTCAAGGCCTCAGCCTTTCTAGGAAGGCGCTTAATGCTTGAGCCATTCCGCCAGCCCTTTTTTGTGATAGTTTTTTTTGAGATAGGGTCTCGAGAACTGTTTGGCTGGGGCTGGCTTCAAACGTGGATCCTTCTGATCTCTGCACCCTAAGTAGCTAAAATTACAGGAGTGAGTTACTGTCACTCCTGAGTTAAAATTTTTTTAAATTAAAACTGTGCTTTCCCTGGTGCTGGTGACTCATGCCTGTCATTACGGTTTGAAGCCAGCCCCAGCAAATAATTCATGAGACCCTATCTTGAAAATATCCAAAAAAACACAACAAAAAACATACACAAAAAAAAGCTGGCAGAGTGACTCAATTGGTAAAGTGCCTGCCTAGAGAGTGTAAGGCCCTGAGTTCAAGCCTCAGTACTGAAAAAAAAAAAAAAATTTTTTTAAACATTGGTTGCTGTGTGAAACTAATACTCAAATCCAAAGTTATGAAAATTTATGTTTCTGCAGTATTCTGAAAAATTTTAATTTTAGCTCCTTTATATGTGGTGTAAATAAGAGGTGAAACTTCATCTTTTACACATGACTATTCAGTACTAAGTGTTGAAGAAATTATTCTTGCTGGAGGTGTGGCTGAAGTGGTATAGCACCTTCTTAGCAAACATCTAATCCCTGAGTTCCAAACCTCAGTACTACCCCTCCCCCCTCCCCCAAAAAGAATTTAAAAATAAAGGACTTGAGATTTGGCTCAAGTGACAGAGGACCTGCTTTGCAAGCTCAAAGTCCTAAGTTTGAACTTCAATACCACAAAAAAAAAAAAAAAAAATTATTCTTGCCCTTACTGAACTGTCAGCAGCACTGTCAAAAATCAACTATCTCCCTAAAGCAGAACTAGAAGGGGACTTCCTCAATCTGATAAAGAGCATCTCCAAACACCAGAGGGAGACATGCTGAGTGGGAGAGACCAAAAGCATTCTGCTGAGATCAGGTGCAACACAAGGAGGAAATCTCTCTTGCCACTCCTTTCCACACTGCAGCAGAAGTCCTAGTTCATGCAACAAGACAAGAAAAAGAAATAAAAGGCCTACTAGGAAGGAAGAATTAACACTGTCACTGCTCACAGGAGACACGATCATCTACACAGAAAATCTGAAAATATGACCAAAAAAACTCCTGGAGCTAAAAATGATCGTAACAAGATTACAGGACAAGTTTAAGACACAAAAAACAATAATTTCTTATATATTAGTTTATCAACCAGTGAAATTTGAAATGAAAAACCCCACATTTTCATTTACTTTAGTACTTAGGTATTTAACAAAAGATATACCAGATTTGTATGAAAAAAACTACAAATCTGTGATGAAAGAAACCGAAAAGCTACACAGATATTTCATGTTCATGGACAGGAAGTCAGTACTGTCACAATGTCAATCTTTTTCTTTCTTCCTGTGTGTGTGTGTGTGTGTGTGTGTGTGTGTGTGTGGTACTGGGGACTGAACCCAGGGCCTTGCATATGCTAGTTAAGCGTGATACCATCTGAGTTCTGTCCCTAGTCTTTCTGCTTTTGTTTTTCAGATGGGCCTCCTCCTCCCGAGGAGCTGGATTACAGGGATGTGCCATTGCACCCAGCTCAAAAAGTCAGCTCTTCCTAACTTTATCTATAGATTCAATGCAATTCCAATCAAAATCTCATTAAATTATTTTATGGACATCAACAAACTGACAGCAAAGGCAGTACAATGGAATAAAGATAGCTTTATTCAACAAGAGATTCTTGAACAGCTGGATATTCACATGCAAAAAACAAACAAAATTCCATCTATAAATAGACTTTACAGCTTTTACAAAAACTAATTCAAAATGGATCATAAATCTAAATGTAAAAGACAAATTATAAAACTCCTAGAACAGGTTGGGGTATAATTCAGTGGAAGAGCACTTGCCTACAAGCACAAGGCCCTGAGTTCAAATCCCAGTACCAAAAACAAAAAAAACCCCAAAGCCTCAAAACAAAAAAACCAACCTAATAGAACATAATATACGAGGAATCTAAATGAACTTGATTTTGGTTATGACTTTTTAGATACAACACCAAAAACACAATGTATGAAAGAAGTATCACTAACTAAGCTGGACTTCTGCTCTACAAAAGACACTGAGAGATAAGCCACAGACTAGGGGAAATATTTATAAACCACATATATGGTAAAAAAAAGACTGGCATCAAAGAATCTCAGCTGGGTGTGGTGGTGTGCCCTGGCAATTCCAGCACTTGGAAGGCGGAGGCAGAGACAGAAAAATTGGGAGAGTTCAAGGTCATTTAGAGCTAACATAGCAAGAGTCTGTCTCAAAAAATTCAAAAGAAAAAAAGGAATTACTTGTGAAGCCATGTTCTAAAAAGTTGCCTATTAATATTTTATAATAAAATAATTAAAGTCTTCAGAAGTGAACAAGTGGGCTAGGGATATAGCTCAGTGGTAGAGTACTTGTCTAGCATGGGTAAGACCTGGGTTCAATCCTTACCACTGTGGGGGAGGAGGAGAAAAAATAGGGAACAATCCATTTTGTCTGTGTCCACACAAATGATTTAAAATAATTTGTAGGGGAGGAGGGAAAAGAAAGAGTAATGGGGTGAATCTGATAGAGCACATTATACTTATGTATGGAAATATCACAATGCAATCACTGTCTACAATTAACATATGATAATAAAAGAAAGAAAATAAATAAAATAATTTGTTCTGGAGAATATATTTTTAAGTACCAGCACTCACAGATAAAAGGTTATTGATTATTTGGTAAAAATTATCATCACTATTGGTCAGATGGGAATTTCCTTTTTCTTTTTTTTGGTGGTAATAGGATATGAACTCAGGGCATCACACTTCCTAGGCAGGCACTCTACCACTTGAGCCACACTCTACCCTAGATAGGAATTTTCTATATAATATTTTAATTCATAAATTAGCACTGAATTTGGAATATCTAAGTCACTAAGTTTCCAGTTCTTTTTAGACATCTGTGCCGAAAACTTTTTGATATATTTAATGAGAGTTATTTGAACACAGCCTTCCAAAAGGAAATGTAAGAGTGCCTTAAAATAAAACCTATTTTTGTTTGTAGTCATCTTCATGCAGGACTTATCCGGACCAAATTAGGAATCCATTAGCTATACAACTCTTATTTGTGCATTTTACTTTTATAGGTATTTTACCTGAAGAAATACACAAAAAAGAAAAATTCTTTTAAGTTCTAAATCATATTATTTCATAAGTTTAGAGGACAATTCTATGTGGGGTTTCCTAATCTACAATTTCTACAAGGAGGAAAAAAATCTTCACACTTAACAATACAATTTGTTTATTAATTTAACTTTATTTTGGACTCAGAATCCTCCTGCCCCAGCCTCCGAATTGCTGAGACTTACAGGGTATGACACCACCCCTACTTGAATCTATAAATCGTCCAACACCTCTGAGAAATGATGATCGTTACTTGGCTCGCTGAGATTCTCTTAAGTATTTTATTTTAAAGAAGGTCAGAAAGTTGAATCCTCATCAGCGAGACTCGTGCTTCTATTTTCTGAACGAAGGGGGAAACTTAGGTATAAATCATGAATTACATTCTCCTTCATGCATTTCTTCTTTCGAATGACTGTTAAAAACCATCAAACCTGTAAGTAACTACAGTATTCATTGTGCATTTTACTTTTATAGGTATTTTACCTGAAGAAATACACAAAAAAGAAAAATTCTTTTAAGTTCTAAATCATATTATTTCATAAGTTTAGAGGACAATTCTATGTGGGGTTTCCTAATCTACAATTTCTACAAGGAGGAAAAAAATCTTCACACTTAACAATACAATTTGTTTATTAATTTAACTTTATTTTGAACTCAGAATCCTCCTGCCCCAGCCTCCGAATTGCTGAGATTACAGGTGTATGACACCACCCCTACTTGAATCTATAAATAAGTCCAACAACCTCTGAGGAAATGAATGATGAAGTTACCTTGGCTGCTTGAGATTCTCTTAAGTAGTATTTTAAAAGGTCAGAAAGTTTGAGATCCTCATCAGCAGACACTCGTGCTTCTATTTTCTGAAAGAAGGGGGGAAAACTAGGTATTAAATCATGAATTACATTCTCCTTCATGCAGTTTCTTCTTACGAATGACTGTAAAAACATCAAAGCTGTAAGTAACTACAGTATTCATTTGTTTTATCTGCATTTCTTTTTTCTTATTATTAGCCTGTTACTTTCCATTGCAAAAAAAATGAACAGAAAAAAATGACATTAGTGAATTTATGAATCACTCTATTTTATTCAAAGACTTGGTCATAAGTTTCATTATATCTACTAGCTTTATTTATATAATTTATTTATTACAATGGCAACTGATATGTACATGATTTTATAGTAAAAAAAATAGGCAATGTTAATTCAAACTAACCATCCTGCTGAAGACAACTAGAAAACCTAGTCAAAGCATTAATAAAGTGTACCTGAGAACACCAAAAACAATCAATAGATGTGGTAAACTTAAGATGGGATGAAATGGGAAGTAGACATGCTAAACTATTTGAGACAGAGGATAAAGACATTTTGTTTGTTTTGAGACAGCGTTGTGTGTGTGTGTGTGTGTGTGTGTGTGTGTGTGTGTGTGTGTGTACCTCCAGTGGTAGAGCAAAGCATAAGGTCCGAGTTCAATTCCTACTGGGTATTTGTTAGGATCCTGACTCAAACTACACTGAAAAAAGCCATTTGTAAAACAAAGGGGAAGACTGTTATTTGGTGACATTAATGGAAATCATTAATAACAGTATTGGCTATACTAAAAATAATAATTCTTTTTTTTTGCAGTACTGGGGTTTGAAGTCAGGGCCTCATGCTTGCTAGGTAGTTGCTCTACCACTTGAGCCACTCTACCAGCCCTAAAAATATAATTCTTATCCTTAAAAACAGAGAGATGCAGCCAGGCATGGTGGTACACGCTGCAATCCCAGTAGTTGGGAGGCTGAGGGAGGAGGATGATGAGTTCCAGAATGGCCCAGGCTACAGTGAGAGCCTCTGTCAAAAAGCAAACAAAGGCTGTTGGAGTGGCTCAAGCAGTAGAGCACCTGCCTAGCAAATTAGGGTTGAACCACCCTGAGTTCAACCCCTCAGTACCACTTAAACAAAGAAACAAACAAATCCAAAAGGGGAGATGCACACAAGTGGCACGAAACAGAATGAACAGGGACTTTTTGGAATAACTATAAACAACATAGAAAATGTTAATTTTCAGGGAATCTTGAGTAATTCTAGCTTAGGGACTCCTCTTTAAACTACCTGACACATTCTTAGAACTACATTATCAATCTGAATCTTCTTATCCATCGTTCCTTCTTCCACCCTGTGCTGCAGTCTCAAAGTTCTTCCTGCCTATTCCTAATCCTTTCTCTTTATTCTTCACAATAAACATCTTGCATATCTAATCCTATCAGCATCTGCTTCTCAGAAACTAAACAATCTATTTGGTGATAGGTGTTTGTTCTTTTGTTGCAAATGCACAGAAAAACAACTATATATTCTCAGAAAATAGTCAGTGATACAACAATACAAAAGCGGACATAATAAGCCATCTGGAGATCACTATCTCAGCATCTATGTATTTTCCTTTGGAAGAGTATGTCTTTCTTTTACTTATCTCCACCATGCATCATGCAACTAGCAGTCATGCTTAAATCATACTTTTATACTGGACTGGTTATGACAACTCTTACCTAAATACCACTATATCTAATGGTATATCTAATCTAATAAAAATTTCTATCATTTAATCAGTTGGTATTATTATAACTAGGGTGATTCCTCCCAAATCAAGACTATGTCAATATTAAATTATTATTCAATGAGTACCTTTCCCTAGTTGTGCCTGCCTTATATTGATATTATATTCACTCTCTCATTTGGAGGGTCAGGTGGGGTGCTGGGGATCAAACCCAGGGCCTCACAAATGCTAAGTATGCAATGTGCTCTACCACCGAGCTAGTTTCAGACCTGAGACTATTTTTTTGGAGGATCGTACTAGAGTTTGAACTCAAGGCCTAATGCTTGCTAGGCAGGTGCTAGACTACTTAAACTATTCCCGCAACCCAAAACCTGATACTATTAATTTTTATTTTTTGCTGTGTTAGAGATACTATTCATTTTAAAAAGCATATCATAAGGGATCAAAAGCAACATGGTTTTTCTTTTGGTGGAACTGGAGTTTGAACTCAGGGCTTCACATTTGCAAAGCAGGTACTCTATCACTTGAGCAACACCTCCACTCCAAAAGCAATATAATCTTCATAAAGTTATAATGAATTTAAGACTTTCTCAAAATTTACAAGCTCCAGAAAATGATCATTCTTCATCAAAGTCAAACCCAGTCTCCGGAATGAGACTTTTCAAGAACTTTTGGGTTGATGGAGTAGCTCAAGCTAGCCAAGCATGAGGCCCTGAATACAATCCCTAATACTGCCAAAAAGAGAAAAAGAGTAAGAGCTTTTATACAAATACCAAAAGGCCATATCAATAATTGAATTTCCTAAAAAACTTTTAATGAACACAAATCTATCTCATCATCCTTAGGAAATATACTCACCTTACTCAATAAGCACAACCACAACAAGCACAACCACAACAACCACAACAGTTAAACAAAATGCAGAGCTTTATTTTCCTAAAGACTAAGTAATAGTAATAGCAATTGAGTTTAAAAAAAAAAAAATCATTGTGGTAAGATACCCTTATTCCCCCTTTGGTGGTTCTAGGGTTTTGAACACAGGGTACTTGTTTTTGCAAGGCAGTCATTCTACCACTGGAACCACTCCACTAGCTCTCCTATTAACATAGCTTTATTTTTCTTTTTAACATATTTTGCTTTTTGGTGGTACTGGGGCTTAAACTCAAGTCCTCAACAACTGCGAGGCAGGCGCTCTACCACTTGAACCACACCACCAGCCCTCCTTTTAACATATTTTGAAGTGCACAATACAATATTGTTAACTTTAAGTACATTGTTGTGCAGTAGGTCTCTAGAATTTAGTACTTACTCTTGTTTTATCAAACAGTTCTGAAACTTTGAGGAAAAACCTGGAAGGGAAAAAATATTTTCATCAAAAACCACATTTGAAATAATTTTCAACTTCAAATGTCTGCAGAATATGCCTCCAAAATATATTAATAATAAACATTATTTCATTATATAAAACATTCAGTGATCTTAACTGAAGAATTCATTTAATTCAACAAAGCTCTCTACACTTCCACTTACGAAACAGATTACTTGAAATTTGTCATAGGAAATCTCATTTTCAGATGACAGTCTACATTTAATTTAAAATTTACCATGAGATTCTTCAACAACATACCACACAATAGCAAATGAAGCCTACACCTTCAAAATTACAGAAATACAGAGCAATCACACTGAAAGAGGCAAAAAGGCTGAGCTAAAGGAAAACACTAAAGTTGGAGCAGTTCAAGTTATCTGACAGTTATGTTTGTTTGCATGCTTGTTTTATGATGCTAGGGACTGAACCCAGTCCTCATTCATGCTAGACAAGGACCCTTACCACTGAGCTACATTCCCTAGCTCTGATAGTTGTTTTTGTTTTATTTGAGTACAGATAAGAAGTTTATTAAAAGAAAAAAACAAAGCTCCCACGTGAGGTGGGGAGGGTCCTGAGTAGGGTGCCCCAATAGTTGTCTTAAACATTTCTAAAAACAGTTGCTTTGCTCTGAAAAACAACAAAAATCAATAATCAATTCCTATCTCAGAATTCACTTTCACTTGTCTAAATAACCTGTCAAATGCAGAGGTCAGTTTAAAAATATGCCAATGCCATTTGGACTGGGGATATAGTTCAGTGGTAAAGCTATGTGCTTAGAATGTGCAAGGCCCTGGGTTCAATCCCCAATCCCACCAAAAACCAACCAACCAAACCAAACAAAAATCACCAATGCCAAACAATTAAAAGGCAATCTACAAAATATGTAATTATCAATGACACTGTAATTGGATTAGTTAATTCACAGAAAGCAAAAACACAATCTAATGAATTTTGTTTTTGCTGAAAAAAACTTGCTTTGGCAGATTTAGGTTAGATAACTAGTAAGGTTAATTTTTTTCTTCTCATCAAAGACTTAAAAACTAATTCTTTGGAAAGGTAACATGTCAATTACTGTAAGGTATGGCATCTTGCTTTGTTGAAAAGCTTGGCTTTATTTTTTTGGTGGGATTGGGGTGTGAACTCAGGGCCTCACATTTGCAAAGCAGGTACTCTACTGCTTGAGCCATACCTCCAGTCCATTTTGCTCTGGTTATTTTAGAGATTGGGTCTCACAAGATACTTGCCCAGGATGGCCTCAAACTGCTATCCTCCCAATCTGAGCCTCTGAAGTAGCCACGATTACAGGCATGAGGCACTGGTGCCCAGTTGAAAAGTTGGCTCTTAAATGCCTACTGAAACAGGACATACTATAGAAGAATTCAAGGATGTGATTTAGAGAAAGACACAGACTAGTGAAAATAGTTATCTCACTTAAAATTGTTTAAAATTACTCTCCAATTAAAGAATTAAGTTTAAGCAATACTATAGTACCAACTAAAATTAACTATGGTTAGTTTAAAACTAGTACAAAGTAAATAAAGGACAGCTGTTTAAGCAACTTCCAGAACACTTTTTTGTACCCGAATGCATGATACCTTCTCCACTGGATCATCCGAGGATTTGCATTAAAATCCATTAAATTATAAACTCTGGAAGAGCAGCCTCTTTAAAAAGTAAAAACTGACAGCATCAAAATTTGAAGCCAGGCACAGGTGGCACCCGTCTATAATCCTAACTACTTGGAGTACTGAGATCAGGAGAATCTCGGTTCAAGGCCAATCTGGGCAGAAAGTTTGCAAAACCCCATGTGAACGAACAGCTGGGCATGGTGGCATGAGCCCATCATCCTAGTTACACACAGGCTGAGATCAGGACAATGATGGTTCTAGACCAATCTGGGCAAAAAAGTTTGTGAGACCCCATCTCAATGGAAAAAAGCTGGACATGGTACATACCCCAGCAATGGTGGTTAGCGTAAAACAGGAGGATCATAGTCCAGGCTGGCCTGGGCAAAAAGCAAGACCCTATCTCCAAAATAACCAGATCAAAAGGGGTTGAGGCATGGCTCACGCTGTAGGGTGCCTACTGGGCAAGCACAGAACACTAAGTTTAAATTCTAGTATTGGAGGTGAGGGGGACAGAAAGTCAACTGGACAGGTATGGTAATGCATGTTTATAATCCTAGCACTTGGAGAGCTAGACAGGAGGTCTCAAGTTTGAGGCCATCCTGGTTGTTACATAATGAGACCCTGTCCAAAAAAAAGTCAATTTAACCTCAAAATGAAATATATGCATAAATGTATACAGTAAGAGTCTTGCTATGTTAGCTGCACTACCCCTCAGCTTTCCGAATGCTGTGATTACAAGTGTATACCACCATGCCCGGTCAAAAATCGCATTTTTATTTATGATAAACTTCATCAAAAACAAAGTACACTCTGACAATAAATTCTCTCTTACATACACACACAACCAGGCAGTTTAATAAAGCATTGTAAATACTAAAACAATATGTTAAAGTCTTTTATTTCTCACATTTAAAAAGTATATAGAGAAAGGAAGAAAAAAAATGAATCAACTCAAGTTTGTACAAGTTTACCATCAAAAATATTTCAAAATGCTTGCCTAGATTACAAGTATAATGTATGTCTAGGCTACAGACAGAAAATTTTCTCTTTACTTATATGTCGTGCTTAATTAGAATGCTTACTTGCATATATCTGTAGAATCCTGAGTTCCTAAAGCATACAGTGAAGAACCAATTCTATTGTAATCATCTGCAGCACCTGTGGGGAATTTTAACAATTTAATTATTCACTGATTTAAAAATACTGACTGAGCATTTCTCTGCAATCAGTAATATGAGGTACCCAAAGTCTAATAAAGGAATGACACAAATAACTGTAACAAAATATGATGGATGTTATATTAGAATACATAAAAACTGCTTTGGGAGCGGGAGAAGTGCATAATTCTACCTGAGCAAGTCAGGGACAAATTTACAGAATCTACAGAATGAGTTCAAGCTTGTAGGATGAGTAAATCTGGAGAGCTTCTTGGGAAGTTCCAGCAGAGGAGCACAGTTACTGGTATACCCTTGGCTGAGACTGGTCCTCTTCTATTGGAGAAGGTTGTTCTCTTTGACCATACAGCTTTAGGAAAGATGCATGGAATGGTAAGGGAGGAAGGAGACGCCTGCCTAGCTAGCCAGATTAGCCAAATCAACCCTGCCTGGTGACCAAATGGGGTGACAGATGTCACAACCAGACTGCCTTCACATCCAGAGAAGCCAATTTTTACCAGGTAGAAAGAACACAATTTGAATAAAGGCACAACATGAATAAAGGTCACGGGCCTCAAAGGGACTATCTATCTAGAGAGTATGGTACTGAAGGACTGACAGGTGAGCAAATGGAATTAAAGATGGAAAAACTGGAAGCATCTTGGGAAAAAAGGGTCTTGAAGTCATCCATGACAGAGTGGATTTGAGTTTGTGAAAATGGATGTTATTAAGCATTTTTAAGTCATACTAGTGGTAAAATTTATTTGTTGTGGGGCAGTACTGGGGTTTGAACTCAGGGCCTCACACTTGCAAGGCAGAAGTTCTACCACTTGCATCATTCTGCCAGCCCAGTAGTGGCAAAATTGACTTGAGAAGGATTTTAGATTAAAAAAACTGATGCCTGAAGTAAATACTAGAAGAAAGACATAAATGGCAGGGCAAACGAACAGGAAACTTGGAATAATCTGGTAATAGATACTGAGTGTGAGGATTAAGATAGTGATAATAGTGGATCAGAGAAGTGAGGACAAAGCTGAACTAAATTTAGGAAGAGCAGTAGATAGTAATTAGTGACAGTAGATCTCACGTGGGAAGGGAAGTTACGAAGCTTAAGAAATTAGATGATTGGTAGCACCATTACCCTCAGATGCTACTCAACTTTAGCATAACACTATTCTTGGGGTTTATACACCACAGGGTAACTCACCTGTTGAAAGAAGAGTTTAATGAATGGTTTCAGAAAAACAATGTATCACGCAATAGTCAAGAAAATGGACCTGAGGCTGGGCATCGGTGGTTCTTGCCTATAATCTTAGCTACTCAGGAGGCAGAGATTGAGAAAATCATGGTTCAAAGCCAGCCTCTGGCAATTAGTTCTCTATATCAAAAAAACCCACCACAAGAAATGGCTGGCAGAGTGGCTCAAGTGGTAAGAGGCCTGCCTAGCAAGTATGAAGCCCTGAGTTCAAAAACAAAAAACAAAACAAAACAAAAACCAAACAAACAAAAAAAGAGAATGATACTTGCAACCACAACCTGGGATCCAGGATCAGCTTCCCAACCAGCTACGGACTGGAGGTGTGACTCAAGCGGAAGAGCGCCTGGCTTACAAGCACCAAACCCTGAGTTCAAAACCCCAGTCCTACCAAAAACAAAACAAAAAACCATCCTAGCCAGATATGTGACCTTGAGCATATCACTTAGCCTCTCTGTGCCTCAGTTTCCTCACCTGGAAATGGGGATAACAATGGTACCCACATCATAATAATTATGTGGAGGGTTAAATGAGTTGAAAAATGTTACCACGTAGTTGGCACATAAATTACATACTACATAATAAAACTGTGTATAGTACTCACTAATGTTTGCTATTATTAACAAACTCCAAGATGCTTTGTATGAAATTCCCATCTATACTAGTATTTTAATACTCATTAGTTCCTTATCAAAACAGTAATCCTAGCCTCCTGGTGCTTATCACAGGCTGTGTTCTTATACTAACTGTATAGAAAGAGGAGGCAAAGTAAACCTACCCCATATACACCTCAGCCCAGATCCTGTGCCTGGTCTGTACTGTGAATGGGGAGACATGGAGTAGAAGAAAAAAGGGCTGAGGCCATGGCTCAAGTGGGAGAGTGCCTGCCTCGCAAGCATGAGTCCCTGAGTTCAAACCCCAGTACCACCAAAAAAAAAAAAAAAGAAAAAAACACCAAAAAAAACCCCAGTAATCCTTGTATTTACTTATGTTGCAGAAAGTTACATTCAACTAACAAGGTTGAAATTTAGTGAATATTTACTATTTACTTATTGTTACTTAAACAATCTATTCTGATATCATTTATAAAGAAACTTTGAAAAACTTCAGACTCTGAATGGTAATTTCTACATGTGAGATTCTTCACTATAACATAAACCTAAAAATTTAACTTAAAAAATAATGGGCTGAGGGTATGGCTCAAATGGTAGAGCACCTGCCTAGCAAGTATGAGGCCCTGAGTTAAAACCCTATAGTACCCCAAATTTTTATATAAGTAAATATATATACCTTTTTTTTGGGGGGGGGCAGTACTGGGGCTTGAACTTGGATATTTTACAGGTAAGGTCCTGGGAATCTTTTGCCACAGAACCAAGCCTCAAACATAGTCCTTTAATTTTAGCCATTCTAACAGGTCAGTACTAGTAACTACTACTGTTAATTTTAAATCAATTAGTAAATGCTTAAAATTTTGGTTTTACTTTATAATTATTATTTTTATTATTTATTTCTTTTGATGGACTGCAGTTTGAATTCAGGTCTTCTAGATTACAAAGCAGGTCCTCTACCACATGAGCCACACCTCCAGACTATGGCAGTCCTAGCCAGATCAATCAGGTAAGAAATAAAGGACATCTAAACTGGAAAAAAAGTTCAACTGTGTCTGCAGGTAACAAGATCATGTATACATAGAAAACTCCAAAGACTCGCCAGGTATGGTGATACATACCATGCCTGTTATCCTAGCTCTTAGAAGTCTAAGGCAGGAGGATCCCAAGTTCCAGACCAGCCTGGGATATACAGTGAGACCCTGCTTCAAGGAAAAATAAACTAAAAAGATAAATCTCCCTACGAATGGGGATGAAGCTCAGGTGTAGACTGTTTGCCTAGTGTACACAAGGCCTCGCGTTTGATTCCCCTGCACTGAAAAAGGAAAGAAGAAAGAAAACCCCAAAGACTCCACCAAAAACTATTAGAAGGAATGAATGAATTCAGCAAGATTGTAGGATATAAAATCAGTATACAAAAATCAGTAGGGTTACTATATATGCCAATAAATTAAGTGAATCAGAAAAACAGTAATTTTATAATAACTGAGAAAAATACCTATGAATAGATTTAACCAAAGAGGTCCAAGATTTCATAATAAAAATGATAAAACGCTGATGAAAGAAACTGAAGAGGAAACAAGAAAATGGAAAGACAAACTATGTTCATGGAATGAAAGAATCAAGATTGCTAAAATGAGGGCTGGGATGTAGCTCGGTGGTACAGCACTTGCCTAGCATGCGTTGAGGCCCTGGGTTCAATCCCAGCACCAAAAAAGACAAGACAAAAAAAAAAAAAGATTGCTAAAATGGTCATACCATCCAAAGTATCTACAGAATCAATGCAATTATTATGAAACCGCAAACAGCATTCTTCACAGAACTAGGAAAAAATCCTAAAAGTTTTATGTGTCAAAATCACATACACATTCACGCATGTGCGCATGCTCACACACAAAAAACAAAAGAAATAACCAGCCAATGCTATTTTGAGCAATAAGAACTAAGCAGAAGTAGGAGTTACCACACTACCTGTCTTCAAAATGTACTATAAAATTATTACAAAGTAATAATTTAAAAAGTGTGTTAAGGGGCTGGTGGAGTGGCTTAAAGTGGTAGAGCACCTGCCTAGTAACTGAGGCCTTGAGTTCAAGATCCAGTACTGCCAAAAAAAAAAAAAAAAGTCAACTAAGAATTGTCAAAAAATTGTGGTATTGGCATAAATACAGACACAGAGACCAACAGAACAGTGTAGAAAGCCTAGGTGTAAACCCTCACATGTATAGCCAACTGGTTTTCAACAAAAGTGCTAAGAAGGTGCACTGAAGAAAGGTCAGTCTTTGTTAAACAAATGGTGCTAGAAACTCAATATTCATATGCAACCTCAACCTCTCACTATAACAAAAAATCAACTCCAAGTGGATTTAAGATCTTAATATAAGATCTGAAACTATTACAGGAAAACACTGGAAGATACAGGCAATAGGCAATCATTTTCTGAGAAGGACTATAATTGCCCAGAAAATAAGAGCAAGAATTGACAAATGGGACTGCATCAAATTAAAAAGTTTATACACCATCAAAGGAAACAGTTATGAGAAGCAAAACACAACACATATAATGGGAGAAAATCTTTACAAGCTATTCCATAGATAAAGGATTAATATCCAGAATATACACAGCAAAAGAACAAATAATCCAATTAATAAATTGGCAAATGAACTGAACAGACCATTCTAAGAAGTACATAAGAAATGGCTAATAAATACATGAAATGTTCTACATCCCTAGCCATAAAGGAAATGCAAATCAAAACCAGAATGGCTACTGTCAAGAAAACAACACAGGCTGGTGGAGTGCCTCAAGTGGTAGAGCACCTGACTAGTAAGCCTGAGGCCCTAAATTCAAACCCCAGTACTGAAAAAAAAAGAAAACAACAAATGTTGGCAAGGATGCAGGGAAAAAGAAACCCTCACATGCTGTTGGTGGGAATGTAAACTAGTATAACCATTATGAAATCAGTATGGAGGTTCCTCAAGAAACTAAAATAAACCTATCTTATTACCCTACCATGCCTCTCTTGGAGTATAATCACTCAAAATAAAAGAGAGATGCCTGCAAACCCACGTTTATTACAGCTCTGTTCACAATAGCCACGGTGTAGAATCAGCTGGAGTGTCAACAACCGAGGACTAGATAAAGAAAATATGGCATATACCATGGAGTATTACTCTGTCATAAAGAAAAATGAAATGATGTCATTTTCAGGAAAATGAATAGAACCGGAGGTCATCATGCTGAACAAGATAAGCCAAGCTCAGAAAGACAAGCCATCTTTGGAATCTAGATCCAAAGTGATGATGATATTAATAAAGGGACATGAATGTAAAAGTGTGACTGTCAGAGAAGATCATTGGGAGAGGGGAAGGAGGGAAGGAAAGGATACTTAGGAGTGAAGAGAATCAAAATATGTTAAATCTATATGAAGACGGCATAATAAAACCCACCAAATACTGTTTGAAAAAGAGGGAGTATGGGAATATAAAAGAGGAAGTGAACATATTCAAAGTACACTGAATCGATGGAATTATCACACGAAACCCTCTTATACTATTAATGTAGGCTAACTAAAAAACAACAAAAAACACTAGAGAATGTAGTAACAAAAAAGGAAAAACCTGATTTGAAAATGAACAACATGAGCCCCAATGACTCACTTCTGTAATCCTAGTTACTTGGCAGGCAGAGATAAGGAGGATAATGGTTTGAGGCCAGTTTGAGCAAACAGTTTGCAAGAGTACATCTCCAAAATAATCAGACCAAAATGGACAGGAGGTGCGGCTCAACTGGTAGAGCACCTGCTTTGCAAACTCAAAACCTGACTTCAAACCTCAGGTCCACCAAAAAAAAAAAAAGAAAACAAAAGTCAGATTCTGCCTTAAGTCTTTTTGCAGTTCTAGGGTTTGAACTCAGGGACTCACCCTTGGTTAGGCAAGCATTCTACCACTTGAGTCACCACCAGCCTTTTTTTGTGTTGAGTATTTTTGAGATAGGGACTTGCTTTTTTTTTTGGTCCAGGCTGACTTGGAACCACAAACCTTCTGATCACTACCTCCCAAGTAGCTAGGATTATAGGTGTGAGTCTTAAGTTTAATGGTTTACTAACTTCAGGGTTCTTTAAAAGCTCTTAATAAAAAGGTGTGGCTCAAGCAGTAGAGTGCACCAGCTTTGCAAGAATGAAGCCCTGAGTTCAAACCCCATTAGAGCAAAAAAAAAAAAAAGGTTCAATGGCCAGTCCCATGCCTCCCCAAAAGGCAACAGACATTTCTCAAGATAAGACATACAAATAGCTAACAGGAATATGAAAAGTGCTCAAGATCACTACTTAGCAAGGAAATGCAAAAGCAAAACCACAATGAATCACTAGAGAGGCTGAAGCAGGAATATCACAAGCTCAAGGCCAGCTTAACCTACAAAGCAAGTTTGAGGCCACCTTGGCTACACAGGGAAACCTTCTCTAAAAACCCAAAAAACCCAAAACAGCAGGTGCTGGTGGCTCATGCTTGTAATTCTAACTACCCAGGAGGCAGAAATGAGGAAGATTGTGGTTCAAAGCCAGCCTGGGCAAACAGTTTAAGAGACCCTATCTTGAAAAAATCCATCACAAAAAAGGGCTGGTGCAGTGCCTCAAGGTGTAGGCCCTGAGTTCAAGCTCCAGTACTGAAACGAAAAAAACAAAACAAAACAAAACAAAACCACAAAGAAAACAGAAATAAGAAATGTAAGCAACCTAAATGTCTATTGATTGATGAATGAAGAAAATATAGTACAAAAAAAGGAAATACAGTACATATAAAGGGATACTGCACAGCCATTTTAAAAAAAAAGAGAGAGAATGAAATTCTGTTATTTAAAACAACATGAATGAAATGTGGAGATATGGAGATTATTCTGTTAACTGAAATAAAGCCAGGCAGAGAAATCAAGTACCATATGATCTCACTCATGCAGAAGCTAAACAAGTTGACATCACAGGAAGTAAAAAGACCAGCATGGTGGCTCACACCTATAATTCTAGCCACATAGGAGCAGAGAATGGGAGACTGCAGTTCAAAGCCAGCATGTACAAAAAGTTAGTGAGACGCTATCTCAATCAAACAAGCCAGGTGTAACGCCTCACACCTGTAATCCCCAGTTACTCAGGAGGTATAGGTGGGAGGATTGTGATCCTAGACTGGCTCCAAGATACTACCTGAAAAATAAATTAAAGCAAAAAGGTCTGTGGGTGTAGCTCAAGTGATAAGAGTGCCTCCTAGCAAACAGGAGGCACTGAGTTCAAAACCCTAGTACCACCACCACCTCTAGTAGTTACTAGAGGCTGAGGAGAGTAGAGGAAAAAGAGTGATGATGAAGTTGATGAATTGAGTACTAAGTTCCAGGTGGGAGCAAGAAGTCTATCATGCTACTAAAGATAACAATAATACGCTGTACATCTGAAACACCTAGACAAGACTCTGAGTTTCTACCATAAAGAGATGACAAATGAAAATAATAACAATGACTACTCTTACTGTAACGATGTGGAACAACTGGAACTGTCATGGCAGTGCTGGTGAAATGCAAAATGGTATAATCATTATGGAAAAAAGTTGTGCAATTTCCTAAAAAATTAAATATGCCTTTAGTCATTCCACTTCTAGGTATTTCCCAAGAGAAATGACAGTGTATGTCCATACAAAGAGTTATATACAAGTGGCTCCTGTCAGCTTTATTAGTAAAAGCCGCAAGCTAGAAAACAACCCAAATGTCCACCTATAGTTGAATGTACATATAACTTCACTGGTATATCCACACCACAGAATTGCACTTAGCAAAAGAAGAAGCTGAGGTAGGAGGATCTGAGCTCAAGACCATCCTGGGACACAGAACAAGACCCAGACAAAAAAACAAAGGCTCTAGGATCTAGGCTTCACAGACCAGTTTGAGAACTACTGATCTAATATGTCAACTTTATAATTATTCCACCAAAAAATGTAAGCTTTAGCCATGAAAAATCTTACTTTTGTGGGATCTTGTCATCCTATCAGATTTAGCAGATGCGTCCTTAACTCGGTTGTGATATTCTAAAAGGAATGTTCGTTCATGCTCAAAGAAATCATCTACATCCTATAAGATCAAAAGAAAACATAAGCTTTTTTTCATTTATTTGTTTTAGCACAGTATGTAAATTATTTTCACCTTATGTCATCATTATAAACATAAAAAGATCATTAGGAAAACAACATAACTATCCTCTAAAAATCAGGTGCTATATTCATTTCATCAACACACAAGACTCTTTACAGAAATGCAGTGCTAGCTATCAAGTAAGAAACAGATGGTTATATTATCCTGAAACATGCTCGTAATTGTGCCCTGCTTGTACAAACATACCACTGATACCCATGGGGCTCATCAGTGGCTTTTATGTAAAAATAAAAAAGAAGAAATTCTGTTATCTAGAAGTGAAAATCTATTTTTCTTGGTCTAATATGCATTCTTTGGGCCATTAAGAGACTGCCTGGCCTTAGTCATCAGGGCAGTCATCCTGATTGCTCTGGGAAACCTAGCCAAATTAGCTAACTGAGAGCAATATGGTACAATTAATACCACTTCCTTCCATTTAAAAAAAAAAAAAAGCTAGATATATATTAAACTTTATTAATAGTACTTTCTCCCTTTCTAAACCAGCAACCACAACTGGAAAAGCATCAACTGACATGATGTAATTTGAGAACTACATAATTGAACCCAAGCAGCAAGTATTAAAGTTAGTACTAACAAAATGTCATTTAAAATCTTCAATTCATATGTATTAATGTTCTTAACTGTTAAAACTGGGATAAATCTAACTTGCAGGGTCACACTAAAGTTAAATTAGTAAACATGGGCTAGCCATCAACACATTATACGTGTTCAAAAATGTTCTCCCTAGGCTGGTGGAGTGGCTCAAGTGGTAATGCGCTTACCTAGCAAGCACAAGGCCCTGAGTTTAGCCCCCAGTACCACTTCCAGAAAGTTCTTACTTATAATATCATATTCAACATAGTAATTTACACTTAAGAGCTAAGAAAAATGTTTAATATTCATGCATAAGCAGTATCAAAATGGAAGTAGACTGAGTCCTCATTGGAAAGCAGCCATGCATTTACATTGTCAATATAATCAATTGACTTACTTCTGAAAAAATCAGAGAATAAATCAAATAAGTAATACTGCACACCAAGTTTTATTGTTGATATACTTGTAAACACAGGCAATGACAAAAAACCATTATTTATCTTCCTTAATATTTGCCTGATGATGTAATACAAATATTTCTTTCCTATTTTACTGATGAATCTTCAGATAAATCAATTCTTGTACCATTTAAAAAATATTAAGAAAAATAAGGTATTTGGTAAATAATTAACTTTGTAAGTATCTGTCACATATATTATCTCAATATTTCCAACAATTCTGTGAGCTAGGTGATATTATGAACCCTACTTTAAAAAATGGAAAGACAGATTCAGAAAAAGAAACTTATCCGAAGATCATAGAGTTATTAGGAAACACCACCAAAACCTCAACTGAATCTTCTAACACCAAATCTGAACCTAGTTCTTCTTCTAACACTTGCAAGGCTAAGGTAAAGGCAGGTGTGCAAACAAGGCAGCTCATCTGCTTGCCTCACCCTGAAGCTCTGTCTATCTAGCACTCAGAAGGACCTTTTGTGCATGAGCTTAAACATTCCATCTGCACAGACCTTTTCGCAACCTCCACTCCACCCAGTTGCCCCATGGTCACCCCTTGACCAACTATGGAACACAGTCAGGGAAGATGTCCATGCAGGATCTGGAAGAAGGCCTGGGATTTGGGCAGGGAAATAAGGGGTCTAGATATCTAGAACATAGTCTTGTTTGAAAGGCATGGGCTCCATGTGGGTTAATTCCCTTGGACTGTAGATTTCTCACCCCTTAGAGAATGGATCAGAGCAAGAGGTAGAATTTCTTAGAACTAAGGGTTTCACTGTCCAAACTTTTCCTTTCTGTAATTCTGTGCACCTGAAATTTCAATCTATTTCCCTCTTAAAGGCAAATTCTCAGACAATGACACTGTTAATCAAATAAAAATCTTACCTTTACACCTGAAACAATTACTCCATCTGCTGATTTAACCATGTTTTTAAAGAAATCTTCGAGTTTTTCTTTTTTATTTTTTCCTCTCACACTCAACTGAAAGAAAGGTAATTTAAGTCAGCCCCAGACAAGTGAAAATTTCCAAGCTTATCTGATAATTCTGTTGCAAGTAGCTCACTCATCTTGCTTTGTCGACACTGTTATATACTTTAATGACAACTTAAAACTTAATTTAGGAGTTCCTTCAAGCATATGAAATTTATTGGAGTATAACAAACCATTATACGATCCTGCAGTATCTCTCTACAAATACATTCTGCAAACTCTTCACTATGAACTCATCTGCATATCACCTTTTGTCCTGTACTATACAAGGGACCCAAAAGATGACTTTGAAAGACATGAGTGGATACTCAAGGGCAAAACTGAAAAGCAGCTAACCCTCTGACTCCCAACACTTGCAGTATCAGGGTGGCCCATGAAGCAACATTCCATGTTATTTCCTGATGTGGGCTTTAATGCCTACATGACTGTAACCATCTTGAGTCGTAACTGCCATAACTGATCCAGCATAACCCCCATTGATTTCTCCTGCATAGTTTCTTAGCAAACTATACATAAATAAAACTGTAAGAGTGGGCATATGGCTCTAGGAATGTGTCTGACTCTATTATTAGCTTAAGATAAACTAAGGTACATTCCAGCTAAAACAAAATCACTTTTTATCCTAACCCCTATCCATGCCACTCCCTCTGATCCAAACTGTGGGTATCCAACTGCCCTTGCTGCACCCAGGACCATGCTTCTTTCAGTAAATCCCCAAATACAATGTACTTTGCTTAACTGTAGATCTGTCTGTCTCCAACTGGAAGACATGGCTCAAATGGTAGAGTGTCTGTTTAGAAAGTTTGAGGCCCCAAGTTCAAATCCCAGTACTACAACAACAAAGGTAACACAGATGACACCTTCTTGTTCTGTCCTTGGATCAGTCTGGGTTTGAACTCAGGTCTTGCATTTGCTAAGCAAGCACCATACCACATGAGTCACACCCCCAGCCCCTGAAACTTTTCAAGTATCATGTTGGTCTTGAAAAAGTTTTAGCCTCTTGGAATGGCAGAGTGGCTCAAGTAGTGGAGTGCTGCCTACCAAGCATGAAGTCCTGAGTTCAAAACCCCAGTATGGAAGAAAGAAAAAAAGTTTTGGACTTTGGATTAGAGATGCTCAACCTGCAACATGACTTACCACCATTGCTTTAATTAATATACTCAAGTCCTGCTGAAAACTGGGCACTGGTGGCTCACACCTGTAATCCTAGCTACTCAGGAGGCAGAGATCAGGAGGATTACAGTTTGAATACAGCCCAGGCAATACAGCAGACCCAATCTCAAAAAAACCCTTCTCAAAAAAGGGCTGGTGGAGTGGCTCAAGGTGAAAGCCCTGAGCTCACTCCCCAGTACCACCAAAAAAAGAAGAAAAAAAAGTCCAATTGAAATGCTGCTTTACTAGTGAAAATGTGCCACTTTAAATTGCCTTGAAAAATAAAACATTCTAAAAAAGGCCCGATGTTTTTTCTCCCCCACTTTGGAGATACTGGGATTTTAATTTAGGGGCTGAATGTTTGCTAAGCAAGCATTCTACCTCTTGAGCCACAACTCTAGTCCTTTTTTTGTGTTGGGTATTTCTGAGACAGGATCTCAAGAACTATTTGCCTGGGCTGGCTAACTTTGATCCTCTTTATCTCTGCCTCAGCTACTCAGCTAGGATTACAGGAGTGAGGACTGGCACCTGAGCCTGAAGTTTTTCTAACTACTCCCTGCCTTTTCCAATGACTCTAAAAGGAAATCTCCATAACTGCTTCTGTCAAATTTTTTTTTTCAATCCTTGTGCTGGGTGGGGGTACACTGTTGCATTTGGAAAAGTTCTTACAATATATCAAATTATATTATACTTGACTCCTTCCACCCCACCTCCCAAGCTTTTGTGAATTTGATACTCACATCTTGATTATATTCCAAGAAGACATGGAAATTTAAATCTTTTCTCAAAATAGGATGTGCTGCCACACGACATAGGAACACTTCATGCATTGCCACTGTCTTCTTGAATATAGCCAAATATTCACTAGAAACAACACACAAAATTAAAAGTAAAAAACTGTTATCAACTAGAAAGTTATTTTCAATGAATTTTTTCAGCAAATACTCTGGATTATTCTAAATGCAAAATTAGAAATACAAAGATGCAATTCATATAAACAAAGATTTACATGAAATGTGTGTATATATATATATATAAAACACAGCTCAGAAAAAGACTAGTTAATAGTATTTATTACATCTAAATGTTAACAACCTCAAATTTTAAACTTTTCTTACTATGCAAGTTGAAGCTGGGATGTCTTAGCTCTAGAGAAATTATTTTACATAACATCAATAAATTTCTAAATAATCACTGTTTTTAAACACATTAGTACAAATATCAAAACCCAAGTCTCAGTAAGCATGTTTTCAATGTTAATAATTATTTTCACCCAATGCAAGAAACACCATAGACTTTTTAAAAAAAATATACGTTTACTATTTTAATATCATCAATGGATCCCAGCAATTATGTAGTAAGTAATACATGTCAGCTTGAGATGGGAAAAAACCTCAAGGAAAAGGCCCAATATTCTTGCTTCAACTACAGGCAAGAAGGATAAGTTTTACATACCAGGAAACCAGCAGGATCAATGTTGGGAGAAGTTTGATCTCTGTGAGGGTAGTCATTCAGTGAAGACAAAAAAGAAGGATGCAGAGGATGGAGGTAGCAGTAGAATAAACCCAAGGTTCTCTGATATCCAACCCCTAACCAGACCATAAAAGAATCATGATCAGGGCCACTGGAAAATCACAGACTTCCATATTAATGTGCTCTGCTAATTTCCAGTTTTCAGTCTTACAAACTTTTTAAGAATGTATTTGTTTGCTATCATACTAGTGCTTGCACCCCACACTGACAGCATTCTTAAAAATCTGTCACTTTACCCTTTGACAAAGACATACTTTGCAAATTTATCTTTTCAAAAGAGTTTATTTAGCATTCTGAAGAGAAGTCTAGTAGCAGTGTGAATATATGCTTGAAAACTAAACTAAGGGTAAGAGAAGTGACAATAATGCAAGAAAAATGATTTCCTTATACAAATCTCAAAATACAGACACATCCAAAATTCAAATGTTTAATAAGAAAGGAGAAAGTCTGTATTTTCAGCATATATGCTAAAAATGGAAAATAAAATATTGCCAAGTGTTCAAGGATTTAATACATTTCTAGTATATATGAAACTAGTAGTCGCTCAATGAAAAACAATTCTTAACTATTCTTTCATTACTTTGCTCTCATTATTTTCCTTTTGGCCAGAAGCTACAGATACAGACAAGAAAGGGGACATATATTTCTTTAACAAAAAAAAAACATGCAAAGTGTTGCTTGGTACATTCTTCTATAATAAATATTAAGTTTAACTAGTATGCACATGTTGAACAAAAAGAACAAACTAGGTGGTAATGACTGAGGCCTTACAGTTAAAAACAATTTACGTTTTGCTCTAAAGTCATGGTCCCTTTTCTGTTTTTTTTTTTTTTTTTTTTTTTTTGCAAGCTTTTGAATCCTTGGTTTTTCAATTTGCGGAGTCTATTTAAAACAATAAAGAACTTTACAATGGAGACAATTACTCTATAATTTTCCATAGGCTCTGATCATGATAATTTACTCTAGTTGTATGAGTTAAACCTGTATCTTTCAGAAACAGTCACTACAGTGAAATGGTTAAAAGAATGAGCTATCAGAGAGCACAATTAACAAAAGCATCAACAAAAAACACCACATACGCTTCCAGCTCCTGTTTCATCTTTGTGAATTCCTCCTTTGTCATTGACCCTTCTCCTTCTCCAAGCTTCTGTAGTTTTTCCCTTGAAGCATCAAAATCAGGTCTTGGTGGTGCTGGCGGAATCTATACAAAACCAAATCACTAATTTTAAGGGACTATTTCATTATTTCAGCACCACTACCACCATGAAAGACTGTGTGGTCAAGGGAGGGGTGAGGATAGGTAAGACACCTAAAAAATTAACTAGCATTTGTTGCCTTAACGCAGAGAAACTAAAGCAGATACCTTAAAGCAACTGAAGCCAATAGGAAAAGGGGAACAGGTACTAGAGAAAAGGTGAGATCAAAAACAATTAACCTAGAAGGTAACACCCACACACAGGAAATCAATGTGAGTCAATACCCTGTATAGCTATCCTTATCTCAACCAGCAAAAACCCTTGCCCCTTCCTGTTACTGCTTATACTCTCTCTACAACAAAATTAGAAATAAGGGCAAAATAGTTTCTGCTGGGTATTGAGGGGGTGGGGGGGAGAGGGAGGGGGTGGAGTGGGTGGTAAGGGAGGGGGTGGGGGCAGGGGGGAGAAATGAACCAAGCCTTGTATGCACATATGAATAATAAAAGAAAAAGAAAAGAAAAAAGACTGTGTGGTGAATAAACTAAGCACCAGAAACACCCAAATTCAGATTAGAGAAATTCACTAGTTCTAGAAATTAAGATTACTCAGGTCCTATAAACCAGAGAAGAAATACAGCATAACACTACCTTTCTGACATTAAAATAGTTCTCAAATGTCAATCTGTAGGTTCCTACATGTACACTAAGCTTTGACTATAGACAGCATAAATATATATATAATAAATATGCATACCATTTTTCAAAAGTATGTAAAGGGTATGACTAAATACAAATGTATTTTTTAAATTAATAAGTTCATAATAGCTTTATGCTACTGTAGTTTTTTGAATGAATAAACACTAACACTACCATACAACAAAGGATATTAAAAAGGGTCCTTGGTGGGTTGGTGGAGTGGCTCAAATGGTAGAGTGCCTGCCTAGGAAGCACGAAGTCCTGAGTTCTAACCCCAGTACCACCACCAAAAAAAAAAAAAAAAAAAAAAAAGGCCCTAGACTGGAGAATTGTACCACAGCAGAAAGACTTTATTCTATTTATCTACAGACAGGGAATAAGCACTTGTCAGTAAAAACATAAGATCTAGAAGAGATATTTCATTCAAGGAAAGGATATAAGAAAAGAATTAACTTAGGGAACCAGTGGCTCACATGTGTAGTCCTAGCTGCTCAGGAGGCAGAAATCAGGAGGATCATGGTTCAAAGCCAGTCTGGGCAAATGGCTCATGGTGTAGGCCCTGAGTTCAAGCCCCAGAACAGCAAAAAAAAAAAAAAAAAAAAATTAACTTAGCAGGAAAGGTCTACAAGGAAGAATAATTAAGGCCAAACTAATGGCAAGATAAAGAGAGCAACTGAGATCAAAGGAAAAAAGTTAAAATAAGAATTACTGTAAAAGGTTGGGCACTGGTGGCTCATGCCTGTAATGAGACTCTTTTTTTTCCCATTATAAGATTTTTTTTATTAGGATATATTCATTATACTGGAGGGGAGGGGAAGGGACTGTCATGAGATTAATGTCTGTTTCCAGGACAGAGAGCAGGCTTATTTACTGCCTGCTATGAAAGAGCTAGATTCTCTACATTCGAGTGTTCCTTAGTGACACTGCCAACACACTGAGTGAGCCTGTTGGTGTGTAGGGTTGAGAAGCAAGGTCAATCAACACAACATGATGCTTGCTATGTGTACTCTTTCCTCTCTGACTCAGCAGTCTCATGTCCTCCATTGGCTGCCATAACACAGTAACAGGCAGGAATGTATTAACTTATCAGTAGCATAAAAGCAAATTCTGACAGACATCTCTCTAACATCAATGTCTTTTTAAAATAGCAAGTACTGCCAGGCACCAGTAGCACATACCTATAATCCTAGCTCTTCAGAGGCTGAGACAGGGAGGACTGAGGTTTGAGGTCAGCTCATGCAAGTAGTTCAAGAGACCTATCTCCAAAATAACCAGAGCAAAATAGAATGGAGGTGGGACTCAAGCAGAAGAGTGGCTGGTTTGCAAGCACAAAGCCCTGAGTTTAAATCCCATCCCACAAAAAAAGAATTACTGTAAGAAGGGGTGTGGATATGGTTTAGTGGTAGAGAGCTTCTTAGCAATGTGCATAGCCCTGGGCTCAAGCCCTACCACTGGAGGGAAAACTACTACAAGAAAAGGGTTACACTAAGGAAAGCAATAGGATCAAAAAGCATCAAGTTTAGTTTAGCACACATTCACTGAGCATCTATTACATGCCAGGCACAATGCTAAGTCTCGGATATAGAAAGAAAAATAGGATGTTCAACATGCTTTTGGGGCTGGCAGAGTGGCTCAAGCAGTAAGAGAATCTGCCTAGCAAGCATGAGGCCCTGAGTTCAAACCCCAGTACTGCCAAAAGACAAAAACAAACATGTTTTTAGTCAGTGAGGAGCATTTAGCCTATAGAAGGAAAGTAATAAAAAAGTGCCATCATACAAGGAGGTTGGGGGGAGGGGGAGGTGTAAGTGGAATGGAGAATGAAGAATGCATTACTGGTCATTCACCAAAATCTGAGCTGCAGAAAGGAAACAAATGACTGAAGAGGAGTGCTGGCCATAGGATGGAGATGGAATTGAGTGATGATTTCAGAGGAATCAAATAAAAAATTTCACAAAGCTGAGTATGGTCAACAGCTGAGGATGAATCTACCCCCTGCCCAAATTACTGGGATTTGAACACCATGCTTTGTGCTTGCTAGGCAGGTGCTCTACAACTGGAATCACACCTCTAGCCCACAACCATCTATTCTTGATAACAACATCATATGGAGCCTTCTAATTCTAAGTATCTGTCCACCTGCGGGTTCAGAGACCCTCAATTAACCCCATTACAAGCCTGTTTCAGTTCAACTATCAGTAAGAACTGAAGTTTAAATGACGGAGCGTAATACTCCCACAGCGCCAGACAAGACAACACAGGATAAAAGGTAGCAAGTCCAATGTTTTATGACTGGCAAAATAAAAAGGAAGTCATATTAGTTACTAAATACACTACACAAGACTCCAACACCTTAAGTGTATAAAATGCTCCTAGAAAATGAAACCTCCGTACTTACAATATAACCTGCATAGTCTTCATTTTCAACAAAGGAATCATGTAGCCAAATGAACTCCTCATGTTGTCGAACAACAGAAAACTCACTTTGTTTAAAATTTGGCAATGAACTCTACAAAGATAGAGAACTCTATTGAATAGAAATCACAATTACACTGAAAAGCATTTAATAAACATTTTATATCTTAGTTTTTAAAAATTTAAGTCGTAGTTTTATTACAGTAAACTCTAGTATGAAAATCATAAGATAAACAAAGTTATTCTCAGACCACTGGGAAATAAGTTAGTTGGCAGGCACTTAATATACTGTACAGTTATCATCACTTGAAAGTTAGCCTTTCAGCCAGGCACCAGTTACTCACACCTGGAATCCTAGCTACCGAGGAGCAGAAATGAGGAAGATCAAGGTTTGAAACCAGCCAGGGCGAATAGTTCACAAGACCCTATCTCAAAAATAACCAACACAAAAAAGGCTGGAGGTGTGGCTCAAGTGGTACAGCATCTGCCTAACAAGTGTGAGTTCCTGAGTTCAAACACCAAAACCACACACAAAAAAAAGCTAGCCTTTCTTTTTTTTTCTGGCAGTCCTGAGGTTTAAACTCAGGGCCTTGCATTTGCTAGATAGGTGCTCTACCATCTGAGCCACACCTCCAGTCCAAAAGTTATCCTATTGAAATATATCAAACTCAACTATACAAACAATGAAAAGTAGATTTATAATCTCAAATATGCCCTAAGAGTCAAAATCTAATATGAATAGTAATTTGTAAAACAGTAATTTGATTAACTTGAAGGAATACAACAAGAATTAAAATAACAATTGTGTTAAAATGTTAAAAAGATTAAGTGTGCATTATGACTAGGTTCTATGATTAATTCTTAAAATGTTAATCTTCAAAAAGTACACTTACACCAGGCGCAGGTGGCTCACGCCTGTAATCCTAGCTACTCAGGAGGCAGAGATCAGGAGGATCAAAATTCAAAGCCAGCCTGGGCAAATAGTTCTCGAGAATCTTGAAAAACCCTATCACAAAAAACTGAGCTGGTGGAGTGGCTCAAGGTGAAGGCCCTGAGTTCAAGCCCCAGTACCGGGGGTGGTGGGGGGGAGAGATACATTTCCCTAAAATGTTTTTTGTTAAAACAGCAGTTAAGTACAAACTAAAATACATCTCTTTCCAATTACATTCAAAACCCACATTCCCAGTCAACATATTAATTAAGAGTGTAAAGTTAGCACAATGGCTAAAATAATAAAAAATGCCACTTACCTTTGTGTGCACAGTGAATTTTACTTTATCCCTCTCACTAAGGGCATCAGAAATGTCCACCTGCAGAGCAGCATCACTTTGAAGATCTACATTTATTGCTTTAAGCTAGAAAAAGAAAATAATGTATACTTTAATGAAAATTCTGCTTCCCCCCCCCCATTCTGGGTCTTACTACATAGCCTGGACTAGCCTCGAACCCACAATCCTCCTGCTCCCACTTTCCAAGGGCTAGGAATACAGGCATGTGTCACCATGTACTTTCATTCTTTCCCCAGACAATAAAAAAAACACATATTAAAACGAAGAATCTCAAGACTAAAAACATAATCAAGGCTGGGTGTTGTGGCTCACGCCTGTAATCCCAGCTCCTCCGGAGACAGAGATCAGGAGGATCCCAGGTGGAAGCCAGTCTGGGCACATAATTCTCAAGGCATATCTCAAAAATACCCAACATAAAAGAAGACTGGTAGAGTGGGTCAAGTGGTAGAGCACCTGTCTAGTAAGCATGAAGCCCTGAGTTCAAATTCCAGTACCACCAAAGGAAAAGAAAAAAGTAATCGAGCTCATTTTATCTATATACATACTTAGAGTCCAGTGCTTTGGATAATGCTATTTTATCTTAACCAATTTTTATTCTATACCACTCAATGGAAGTCATTTTTGCATGAATGACTAAGTTAATCATAATTCATTATAGTTTCATCCAAAAAGAAAAGAATTTTCCAAGAAGATGGTACATTAAAGTTCAAGTGTTCTACATTATTTAAGGAATGTGTCTAACTTTTAGAGAAAAAAAAGAATACTGACAACACACACACACACACACACACACACACACACACACACACACACACACACACACACACACAAAGGCAGGAATGTAGCTCAGTGGTTTAAGTGTTTGCCTAGCATGCAGGAAGCCCTGAGTTTGATCACCAATATACCCTACCTCTCCCCCAAAAAAAGATCAAAGACTACTGAACAACAGTTTGAACTCTATTGTTTCTTTTAATTCAGGAATATACAACTAGTAAATATATTTAAACATATTACATAAATATACTAAGAAAAATACTAACATAAAACACTCCACAACTAATGCTACAAGCTTCAATATATTTGAAGACTTGGAAGTTCCCTCTTTAGAGCTTCCATTTGCTTGTCCATGAAATGATTTTTGCACTTAAGATTCTGTATTATTTGTTTTTGTGGTGCTGGGGATAAAACCTACACCCTGGCACCTGCTAGGCAAGTGATCTATAGCTGAGCTACATCCCTACCCCCTACACTAAGAATTCTTAAACTTCATATTTTTTTTTCTTAGAGGAAAACATTCATTTGCTACAAACAGAAAAATCCAAGCAGATAATGAAATAAACATATGGTTTAAAGTATCCTGTTCTGGTTTCTCTGCCCTAGAATTTGATATGCAGTTCAAGCTTAGAGTACTTCAACACTTCTGAATGCTATGAAGTCTCCATCCTACAACTGTGTTTCTCTAGTTCAGGTCATAACTGATCAGGGAAGTCATCCTCTACAATGTCACCACTCCAGTCATCTACCCAGATATGAATGAACACCTTCATCTCCATCTAAACTAGCCCAGTCTTCTGCAGGAAACCCTCAACTCATTTTTTTTTCCTCAGAGAATCAAGTCTACCAGCTGCTTTTTCTCTAATATTGCAACACTTAAAGCCCATTGCCATTCAAATCAAGAAAGCTGGAACCTTAGTCAGGTATTGGTGGACCACACCTGTAATCCTAGCTACTTGGGAGGCTGAGATCTGGAGGATAAGGTTCCAGGCCAGCCTGGACAATAGTTTGCAAGACCCCATTTCCAAAATAAGCAGAGCCAAATGGACTAGAGGTGTGGCTCAAGCAGTAGAGTGCTTGTTTTGCAAGCTCGAAGCCATGAGGTTCAAACCCTAGTTCCACCAAAAAAAAAAAAAAAAAATTGGAACATTTACCCCTCTTCAACTGCTGCTGCTACTGCCACAGCTAATGCTGACTCTACCACAAGGGCTACAGACTGGCTGGGGGAAGAAGAGCTACTTGAACAGAAAAATTTTTTTCTCACGTACGGTCTCACTATATAACTCAGGATAGCCTCAAACTTGTGATCCTCCTCCCTCCACCTCCTAAATGCTGGGACTACAAGTATGGACCACCAGACCCAGCTATTCTTTATTCTTTAAACAATAAATATTATTTAGGTAATTTAGAGACTTAAAGTCAAATACACTAAAAGATAAAATAAAACCTTTGTCAGCTATCTAATAACTAGCCTATTTTAAATGTTCAAGTTGTAAAACACAGGCTTGCTTGGTAATCTCACCCAGTTATCACCTTTCAATTTTTAACTACAATGTAAATTTTTTTATAGCATGACACTTGGCTCTTTGTTGTTCTTTACAACAGGGTCTTACTATGTAGCCCAGGCTGACCTTGAAGATAAGACTTGCTGCCTCAGCCTCCTGCATGCTGGGATTACAAGCATTCACTACCACATCCAGCTAACCTACCTTTGCTTTTTCTTTTTTCGGGGCACTACTGGGATTTGCACTCACAGTCTGGGCTTGGTAGGCCAGTGTTTCACCACATTCTTAATGCCCCCAGCCCCTTTTAATTTCGTTATTTTGGGGATAGAGTCTTTTGAGTTTTTGCCTGGACCTGCAATCCTCTTATTTATGCTTCCTGAGTAGCTAGGAAAATAGGCATGTGCCACCATGCCCAGCTATTGGTTGAAATGAGGTCTAACTTATTTTTACCCAGCCTGGCATCAAACCATAATCCTCCCCAGCTCTACTTCCCAGGTAGCTTGCATTACAGGCATTAGCCACCACAGGCTGGACAAGTCTCTCACTTTTTTGCCCAGGGATGGCTTGGATCACATCCTACCTATAGCTCTTGCATAGCTGGAGGTACAGGACGTTATGATCACACACAGTTTAGTTGTTGGGAATGGGACCTCACTTTTTTTTGTCTTTTTGGCTAGGCTGGTCTCAAAGCTGGACCCTAGCACTGCACCTTGAGTAGCTGGCATTGCAGGTATAAGCCACTGTGTGAAGATCATGAGACTTAAAAAGGCAAGGCACAGTGGCTTATTTCTGCAAGCCACTTTCTTATTTCTTAACCCACGGATAGTGTGAGGCCAACTCTGCCAGAAAGTCAGTGAGGTTCCCTCTCAACAAAAAGAGTCAGTTGCCATTCATTAGGCACGCCTATGGTCTTAGCTATAGGGAAGGACGTAGGTAGGAAGATCTCAGCCTCAGGCTACCATGGGCAAAAACAACAACAAAAAACACAAGAAATAACTCTCCAAAAAATAACTAAAGCAAAAAAAGGGCTGAGGGTGTGGCTCCAGTGGCAGAACTGCCTGAGCTCAAACCCCAGTACTGCAAATAAAGAAAGAAAGATGATGCCCACTATCTCCACTCCTATTCAACATAGTACTGGAATTCCTAGCCAGAGCAATTAGGCAAGAAGAAGGAATAAAAGGAATACAAATAGGTAAAGAAACTGTCAAAATATCCCTATTTGCAGACGACATGATCCTATACCTTAACCCAAAAAACTCTACTCAGAGCTTCTAGACTCATCAATAGCTATAGCAAGGGAGCAGGATATAAAATCAACAGAAAAAAATCATTAGCATTTCTATACCTAACAATGAGCAAACGGAAAAAGAATGTATGAAAACAATTCCATTACAATAGCCTCAAAAAAATCAAATACCTAGGTGTAAACCTAACAAAAGATGTGAAAGACCTCTTAACAAGGAAAACTATACACTTCTGAAGAAAGAGATAGGAAGACTATAGAAAGTGGAGAGATCTCCATGCTCATGGATTGGTAGAATCACATAGTAAACAATGTCGATTACTCCCCAAAAGTAAGCTTACATGTTTAATGCAATTCCCATCAAAATTCCAATGACATTCATTAAAGAGATTGAAAATCTACTGTGAATTTATTATGGAACACCAAGAGGCACGAATAGCCAAGGCAATATCAGTTCAAAAGAACAGATGCACGGAGTATCACAATACCTGACATTCAAACTATATTACAAAGCAATAACAATAAAAACAGCATGGTACTGGCACAAAAACAGACATGAAGACCAGTGGAACAGAATAGAGGACCCAGATATGAAGCCACACAACTATAAGCAACTTGTCTTTGACAAAGGAGCTAAAAATATACGATGGAGAAATAGCAGCCTCTTCAACAAAAAACTGCTGGGAAAACTGGTTAGCAGTCTGCAAAAAACTGAAACTAGATCCATGTATATCACCCTATACCAAGATTAACTCAAAATGGATCAAGGATCTTAATATCAGACCCAAACTCTAAAGTTGATACAAGAAAGAGTAGGAAATACTCTGGAGTTAGTAGGTATAGGTAAGAACTTTCTCAATGAAACCCCAGCAGCACAGCAACTAAGAGATAGCATAGATAAATGGGACCTCATAAAACTAAAAAGCTTCTGTTCATCAAAAGAAATGGTCTCTAAACTGAAGAGAACACCCACAGAGTGGGAGAAAATATTTGCCAACTACATCAGACAAAGGACTGATAACCAGAATTATAGGGAACTTAAAAAACTAAATTCTCCCAAAACTAATGAACCAATAAAGAAATGGGCAAGTGAACTAAACAGAACTTTCTCAAAAGAAGAAATTCAAATGGCCAAAACACATGAAAAATGCTCACCATCTCTAGCAATAAAGGAAATGCAAATTAAAACCACACTAAGATTCCACCTCACCCCTGTTAGAATAGCCATCATCAGCAACACCACCAACAACAGGTGTTGGCGAGGATGCGGGGAAAAAGGAACCCTCTTACACTGTTGGTGGGAATGTAACTAGTACAACCACTCTGGAAAAAAATTTGGAGGCTACTTAAAAAGCTGGACATGATCTACCATTTGATCCAGCAATACCACTCTTGGGGATATACCCAAAAGACTGTTACTCCAGAGGCACCTGCACACCCATGTTTATTGCGGCACTATTCACAATAGCCAAGTTATGGAAACAGCCAAGATGCCCCACCACTGACGAATGGATTAAGAAAATGTGGTATCTATACACAATGGA